AGACCCACCCTGTTTTTCTCAATCCTTAATCAGCTGACGACGGCAGCCTAAAAGACCTTTCCTCTGTCACAACTTTTGTCTTGATCACTTCTGGATTTTTCTCCTGGTAAGCCGATTTCCTATAAATCTGTACAAATTCTGTATGTTTTCTTCAATCAGATAAGAGGAACAGATCACAAGCCACTTTATTAAGAAAGTCAGGATAATTATTCTCAGAGGATAATTATAAAGTGGGGAAACTGAAGAACAGCAACATGAAGTAACTTGACCCAGTTCTCTTGGAGAACAGTGGCAGAGCTGGAGAGAGATGGCAGCTCTCTCGCGGGCCTCGATCCTTTTATCCTCCATCCCTGGGGTATCCTTTATGTCTGTAACGAGGCAGCTCAGGGACGTTGCAGCGTCAGCCATGGCCGTGAGATAAATCCCTAATCAAATGAAGAAAACTTCACGTGGACACTGAGAGGGGATGAACTTATACTACCAGACTCTGAAACCGTTTCGGAGCCCATAGGCGAGCAGGGGCAGTGGGTACCACTGCCACGAATATTCCTGGCTACTGCCGCTTGCCAGCAATGGAAAGTTCTTTACTTACAAATCAAGAGCTGTAAATAACAACAAGGAGAAAGGGGTAGGTAATTCTTCTGCCCTGCCAAGAACCATCTGCAATTTGACGCGCTGACACACCTGAAAGCTGTTTCCGATTTTACAGGGAGACAGTTGGAAAAGCCTCAAAGTAATTTTTCTCTGCTCTAACTTGCATGCTACAAAGAGGAATGAGGATATTACGCAGCATTGCAGAATCAATAGTTATTGTGGAAATTATTGGTTTGATGTCAAGGCCAATTAGCTGCAAGTGGAATTAGCACATACCCTGTGCGGGAAGACAAGTACATGTTCTTCCCTAGATGGGAAAGATGTTGGCTACGAAGGGCCTCCACAGAGGTGTGCACAGAAACTTCTTAATTAGTGTCAGATTTCCCAATGCTGAAAAACCTAACACCAGCTGCTTCTCTTGGTACACAACAGTCTGCAGCAATGACCTGGTCTGTCCTGTAGAAGGGACAAACCTGCAAACCACACTGACCCTCTGCATTTGGATTTCACTCCTAAGAAGGGCTATACTTGGCCAACCCAACTAGTCACCCCATGTCAGAGAACCATGCTGGCTGAGATCAACTCAAAACACCACCTTATCCCTACACCTTTCCATTATTGTTCTGACTTGCACCAACAGAACTTTTATTCCATGTTGCAGCTAGGATTTATTACATTTAATGGACTAATCTACTCCATGCCTGTTTTGGCTACTGAAAAAGAGTTCAACACTTGAGATTAAGTCCTGCTGGAGGATTAAGTGCTTTAGAGGAGAAGATAAGCGTAGATGCAGGAGTGAGGAACATGCAAAGCTTGTCATACTAAAGGAAATTGGCTGCACAAATTTTATTAAACTTTAAAGATGCAAAAGCAGCGAGACAAAGGAGCTAATTTTCAGGACCTCCGTGCAAGGTGGTGTAAAACTGAATGTTTTTGTAGCAGCTTAATCCACACTTTGAATCTCACCCTGGGAGCAGCGAACACACAAGAAGACCTTGCAGAGGCCAGGAGGGTGAGAGCCCAGGGAGGGAGGCAGCCCCAGGGCTACGCCGCCTCTCCACGCACACCCTTTCTGCTTCTCCTCTGGACCTCGACTCGCCTGCCAAGCCAACCACCCCCCACCCCGCATTCACAAAACCAGTTCCTCAGTTCAGCGGGGAGCTGGCGCCCGCCACCACCGTCACTGAGCAACACGGCACAAACACCACCACGGAGAAAGGCTCCTGCGACACTGCAGGCTGAAGTCAGCTTCCTGTACCCGGCTGGAGGCTGCCCGCCCCGCGGAAGACCTGTCCACCCCTATCTACTGCTGAAACCTCTGCATCAGCAGATCAACAGATTCTTTCCATAAAAGGCTTTCAGGGCCAAAGGGGACTTTTTCTTCTGGCTTACTAAAGCAAGTAAGATGCACCGAGTTGCTTTGCAGCCTGTGATCTGCATGCGATCGCTGAAGTCCCTTTGAAATACAATAAACAGCACAGTAAACCTTGGCTCATGTGTCGTCTTCTGTGCTACGGTGTGTAACCCTTGGTGGGCAGCAGACCCCAAAGATGATCATGTAAACTGCATTGACCCCTGAAGCAAGGAGAGCTGCCCCGATGCACATTCGTGCACCGGAGGTGACAATGTCTGCCAGTCGGGGACAGCATTTAGGTGAGACCAGAGGGGTACAACAGGATCCCTTGGACATACAGAACAAGATGCAAAATGCCTTCACGGGGATAACTTGTGCAAATAATGTCATTTCCACATATCCAGCAGTATACTGTGAAATGCACCTGCCACAATTCCTCGGGATAGTTCCTCTGTTATTTTTTATTTTATTCTCAAATCAGGTCTGCATCCGTTTTGCTGAAGTGAGGCACCATTGTTGTGGTGGAAATGGAAAAAACTACTCACAGCTGTAGAAACACAGAGACAACTCAACTGGGGTGACAACCCATGTCCCAGGCTGCAAGACTCTCATAACGGAAATCTGTGGAAATCCCACCGCACCAACACTCCACGTCTACAACAAAACCCTGATGCCTTTGTGCTCTGCACTTCTTTTGCAAAAACAGCCTTAGCTTTCTGGGGAGGACCCGAAGCTGTGGCTAATACTGAAGTAAATGTACTAACGGTGCCATCCAGAGGTACTTGGGAGTAGCACACAGCTCACTCAACAAGAACTACCATGTAAGTGAGAGAGAGGACCTATGCATAATCTTACATATATCAGACTTTAAACCAGCTATGAAATAATTACATTTTCTGTTATTTTTCATTTCTTTTGCCCATCAGCTTTCATTCACTTGTTTTCTTCCATCTCTCTCAATACTCACTGTGTGTTTTCATTTTCCACGTATACTAAATCAGTCATTCTTAAAAATATATACATCTCCGCCCTCTCTTGGCAAACAAGAGCTATTTCATTTTACTCACAATTGCTAAAAACAGGACCACATGCTCAATTTGGAGAGACACTTACCTGTATTTCATTGCCATACAATAGTACATGATTTCAGATAACAGCAACCACACATTGAAACAGGAACCGTAACAGCGGAAAACAATCTTTTTTCCCTATCTAGAACAGCTGATGACTCCCTTTCAGCTGTGAAATCAGGACTCAAACTCGATATAAGAAAATGTTTTTCCAGCATATGATTATACGTATTTTTATGTGTGTGTGTGTATATACAGCTTATGTCAGTTGCCTGAACAGTTTGGATGCAGAATCACCTGTGGCATATTTTATGATGTATGTCACAGGAGATATTGTTCAGTAGCAAAAGACTAATTCACCTCTGTGTGCAGAGATACCTCCTTCACTGACACCCGTATCTGTGTGACATTAAGATGTGGATTCACAAAGCGATCCTGTTAATATCAGAGTAAAATCAACTGTTGAATCCTTATTTTCTCTATTAGGAAATTAATGGGATTACAGAGATTACAGACAAATAATCCCAACAGCACAAATTGTATACTTACTTTTTTAATCTGGGATTTTTTGAGCTTTATTCAGATAGATAACTGATTTTGAGGTGATCTTAAAGATTCAAAAATACACAAAATACAATACACTGGTATCTGTCTTTTTTCCCTCAGAAATCATCACTTACTGGTCCATTAGAATTAAGGCACTGGGTATTATTTTATCACCTTACACAAACTAAAAGAAAACTTGAGAAACAGATTGACTTAAAATCTAACAAAATAACTTTTCAGATAGCCTATGGCAAGCACCATTCTCACTTGCTGCATCCCTCCCAAAAAGAGTATCCTTCTTTTACAGTCTCAGTATTTGAAAACCAAGAAAAACTGTAAAAAAATGAATTATGTCAAATGACAGATGGTGTTGCTGAACCATGCCTACTATGGTTATGGTTAAGAGGAGATGGCTAAGAGATTTTGAGTGTTACAGAATCCAAATGTTAAATGTAGGGACCAATGTCTGCACTGCATGTGGAGAGTCACCCTGAGCTGACTTCAAACCTAACCTGACCTGAGCATCAGATGATGGCTTCATTTTCCACCAGGCAACCCTGGACCATGCCCTGTTTATAACTGCACTCAGGTCTCCTATCAGTAGCTGCAGGGAGGTAGCTCTTGGGTCAATGAAAGCACAAGATCATGGAGACACCTGCATGGAGAAGGGTTTGAAGGGTCATTTGAAAGAGGTGAGTGAGCCTGCAGAAGCCTGCACTCTGGTAAGACGGGAAGTGGAGAAACAGCTCTCACATTCCAGACATCTCCATGCTGAATACATGTCTGTAGGAAATTGCAGACATATGGGGTCCTTCAAAAAGCTGTGAGATATGACCCACAGAGATCACTGAGTCGACAGTCTAATTTTATAATCTTAACCCTGCTAGAAGTTTCAGACACGTCTTATATCAAGTGTACAACACTTTCACGCAGCAGCAAAAAAAAAAAAAAAAGCAAAACCCAAGAAACACACCAGTTCTATGCACTGTGATGAAAAATTATAGCAGTAATTTAACAGAAAATATTTCATTAAAAGATCAAAGACAATATGTCTTCCCCTTCCTGCCACTTTCATACACACAGTGTTTTCCCAAAATGCGTTTTGTACATGAAAATCATCCACCCCGGCCTAACTGCTGCACAAGAAGGTGTTTGTTCAGACAACAAGTGGAAGTGTACCTTGATGGCAAATTTGTGCCACCAACAGGAAAAGATCTGGAAAAGGCATGGAAAAAATCTGCTCTTGCGCATTCGCTTTGAATGTGTATCAGGTTCCAAACCGCAACTCCTTTTCTTTCAGAAATTAACGTGTTGTAAGCAAATTAGAGCACAGTGTCGCTTGGCAGAAAGGTAAACACAAAGATCATTACTTACATTTATTTCCCTTTTTTCCATGATTGCCCCCATGGAGGGCAGGGTGTAGGGTGTGCACTCACCTGTACTTCCCTGTCCGCACTTGCAGAGCTCTCATACCGCACCGCTGGGCACCTCCTACATCATTCACAATATCATCTCCAATCATGATGGCCTGTCAAAGCAATGAAATACAGAAAAACTGGCGTCAAGTGAATTTTATTTCTGCCATACGTCACACTCCTTTGACATAACAAACAGCTTGATTTGATGTTTAATACTGCCATCAGACAAATTAAACAAGATAATATTGTCATCGTATTGATTAAAAGTCATCCTACCTTGAATATAATTCATGCTATAACTCCCCGAGCAATGTACTAGTGCAGTACACATCTGTACAATTTGTAATCAATCACAAAAATCAAAGTGATTTGGCACAGTCCAAAGAAAATGTTAAATTTTATGAAGTTAGTCCTATTCTGTTCCTAATGATGCATTTATGTTATGCTCCAAGCAGTTTAAATTAAGCTTAACTTTTTAAACATTTCCTTAAAATTGGAATTCTCAAAGCCAGTCAAAAGTTTAAGCTTGTGATCACTGAGATGTGACCCCAACCCATGCTCAGGTTGATACAGAAAAAAATCACTGTAAAATCTAATTTATTTATTTTTGCACAATGTGATATGATACGTACAGGCCTAGCATGGTTTGCGTTACAGTCAGCTTAAGTCTATGCAAACACAAATAAACTCAATTGAGTAGATTACCAAAAAAATGTAACTGAGAAAAAACCTTCCGGCTGTGCTAAGATTTGTCTGAGTGTCTGATGAAAACATGTAGCATGCATGCTCACTTCAGAGTTCCTATCTTTGTTAAAGATCTTTGTTAAATTGAAGCATATCAACCACAGGGTCTTTCTCATTAACAACTGCATCTTCAAAATTTCAAGTGCTTATTATCATGCATTAAAAATTATTACATTTATTTTATTCTTCAAATTTAAAAATGGGGGGGCTGGGGGGACTCATTTTATAGTTTTAACAAAACCCAGCATACACAAAAAACAGTAATCTTCACTTAATAAGCAAAAAATCAGCTTTCAACATTCCAAACACGTTCTGGATTACTCTGAAGAGAACAGAGGCAGCACCTAAAACTGGGGAAACATACCAGCTTTGAAAATATGTAATATCTAATTTATCTATCCGATTTTAAAGTGTGCTTTTGCACCTTCTGTATCAAAGTTGAATTTTATCTAAAATACATTAATTAGTTGCATCGTTAGCCACTTGATCTTCATCTTGTTGACTTAGCCTCCCACTTCATAAACGTAACTGCCAGGCTTTCACAATGACGGCACCTTGCAACTCTAGCAATTCCTGCCTGAATTCCCGTTCCTTCCAGGTACTTTTGATTGTTTTCATACCTGCACATCAGATACACGGAGTCACTGTGCAAAGTGTTTCTTTTCTTACTAAAGAAATTGCCCTTATATTTTGTGTGGTTTGAGCTTTTTCTAGGGTCTGTCATGATGGGTCCTTGTCCCACGTATGGGGCTTGGGAGGTTAAAAGGCATGTTTACAAAGGGGACCAGGGTTGCCTTAGACGGAGGCTGGGTTACTGAGCGCAGCACCAAGGGGGACTCCGCTGGGCACGCACAGAAAGCCAACCCAGCATTTTTCCATCTACAGAGAACTGATAAATAGGCCCTTGTCAGAGAGGTCATGGGAACGAGGCAGACGCGGCAGAAGCAGGAATCGGCTTCTCCAGAAGCAGCAATCTGAAGGGAATGCACAGCTGGCTGCAGCTTTAAGGACAAAAACATACAGAAAGTCTGTGTTGCAGGCGCCATTCCAGTTACCAGTTCTGCCTAACATAAAATCCTCTTCTTCCCTTGCCTTCACATGGAAGCACCTCTTTTTTACATAGCATGCAACCATGTAAGAGCCAGTTCATCCTCTGCGTCACCCATGCTTCAGTTCCCACTCTGTAAGCAGTCTGCTGGGCAGGACTAAATCATACATACTGAAGAAGTCTTAAAAATACTAAAGTTCCAGAGCTATTTTTATTAATCATCTAATTACAACAGAATCTTCTCCCACTTATTACATAGCATGTAAAGAAAATCTCAGGATATACCTAAAGCCCCAGCAGAACAGAAGATTTTCTGAGAGCATTCATGAACCAAACTGAGCTACGAACACGTATATCTGCAACAGCTTCAGCTGATAAAAACTAAATCCTCTTCTGAGTAACACATCAGGTGCGGTGTGCGAGATTATATGTAGTAGTTACCAGCCCCGTCTATCTTCCATGTTAATACTGGTTTTTTAAATACTGTTCACACGAGGGATGATCATCATCCCTCAGGTGATGGGACGTAATAGGATCCCCCCTCAAGTCAAGGCTCATTCGTCTGGTTCCACATTGAAGTAGTTTATTTTGAAACAGTTTATATATGCCCACCCTTGCTTCATTCTGCCTAGAAGAGTCACCGCTGTGGCCAGGCTTTGAGAGCTCCTTTAAGGAGCAGAGAGATATCAGGACTTCTGGCAAAGGGGTCAGAGCTGGGGAAAACACGCTCATAGGGCAGGAGCAGCAGCAGGCTTTGGGACAGTAGCTCTGCCTTTCCAGCCCTCTGCTTACAAACCGCTTCAAAGCCACCAGGCGATGGAGGGCTCAGTCTTTTTCATCCTTTCATTACTGGATCATTTTCCTTATCCACTCTGCTCATGGAAACACATGTGTTCCTAATAAGATGCCTTCCCCTGTAGATAGTTCACCTTTCCTTATCACTCCTCCAAACAAGCAATCCAGCATGAAATGGGGAGAAAATGATAGGTTAATTTTAAGTAATTAGTAAGTAAAGCACGTATACACAGATGAGGAAAACAGAATAATCCCACCGTTACATGCAGAGCTGCAAAGAACCTGGCAGCACCGCTCCCAGGCAAGCACCATTACCAATCTCTCCCCAAGTTGCTGTGAGATATTTAATCATTCTCAATCACTAGCTTTAACAGTTTCTAATCCTCTCTTCTTATAAAATCCCTTCCAACACCTCCCCGAGGGGGACAGGGAAGGGCTGCAGGGGGAACCCTGAAGAGTCCGCAGTGGGGACCCCGGGAGCGGACCTGCCCTCCGCCCTTGCTCAGCCTGAACCCAGAAGTTCAGGATGAGATTTCTGAAGTATAGACAATTTCAGTCCTGGGCTCTCAAAACCCTAAAAATTAATTTCCTCTGAAAACGGGAAAGGGCGGAGCAGGACAGCCCACCAAGCACTCGCTTGCTTGCCAGGGCTGTATTTTATCCCGTCCAGGCAAGTTTTCCTGCAAGATGCCTGGCAGCTCTGCAAGTGCAGCTGCAGATGAGCAGCGATGCCTGTCCAGGCCAGCTTGTGGCATACGCATACAAAAATGTATTCCAGCCCCCGGGGATTTCACAGATTTACTATCGGTGAAGGGCAATAATCACTAAAGGAGGAGCAATTATTCCCAAATCATTTAGGATTTAAAAAATCATTGGCAAGAAGATAGAGGTCAAAAGGTGCACTGTCAAGGGAAATAAAAAAACTCTACCTGTCAAACCTGGGTTTAACTTCCTCTCTGACTGCAATATGGTAAGAAGAGAGAGAAAGATATAAAACTGAAAGGTCACATACCCACTGAAAGCAAGAATTAAAAGATCCCCGCTCGTGTTCACATTTTACACAGGGATCACACCATTAATCTGTTCAATTATTCTGCGGAAGTTACTTTTTCTAGATCGGTTAAAAATTTAAAAATGCAGTGAGACAGTCTCTCTGGTTTTAAGACAAATCATCAAAGAATTAAAATGGGCGTAGTTTATATTTTCCTAAGCCGTACAGGTGGTGAGAGATGGTGCGTGTGGTTGTACACATGCAGCAAATAAAGCACACATGTGCCAAAGCTGGGTGAAGCCACTGCTCTTGAAGAGTCCCCATCAAACTCAACTCAGATCGGCAGTGATAATGGAGGACATGAACATGACCTCCAAGAATTTGCGGGTGGGAAGGCACAATATAATCCCCACCAGACAAACATCTGTGGCACAGAGATCACCATCACAGTCAGCAATTTTACTGGTGGTATCTGGGCCACGGACCCAGAGCTGAACAGAGGTGGCGACTGACTCCTCTTACCCACAGAAGCAGCCAACACTAACAAGCCTTCAGAGATGCTGGTAGGGTGGTCAATGGGAACCTTAGGTACTTTTTGTCTGCAAACAGAGTTTTAGTATTCACTAAAATCACAGAAAAATGTTTAATCAGAAAAGGAATTATGGAGTAAGAAAATGAATGAGGCAGAAAGACAACAATTTCTGTACTACCCAGCCACGCTCGTGTTGCAATGCCGTGTTTACTAGGACAAGCTCAGGTACGGTACTTTGGAGGCTGAAGGCTATGGAGGATGCAAATGAAAAGACGCGCAGAAGGAAGTGTGCAAACTTCAACAGAATATTTAACCCAGTGAACGTTTCTAGAGTCAAACATATTTATACCTAAGCAGATTTTTGCTGTAGGCTTAATAACCTTAATCAAGCTAAATGTGCCAGGGACAGAAGGAAATAAAGCTTATATACAAAATCTTGATTAATGTATTAACCCCTTTACACAAGAAATACAATGCATTTACTCTTCTCCCTATTCTCCTTGGCCCAACCGGTAATCTCCTAGGCTTCAGGATCCCATATTACTGTTAATTATGTTTCTATCTTGGAACTACTAGCTGTGCAAACATCAAACACGCGAAAGGCATCTGACCTGGGAGAAACTGTACAACAAGCCAGGTGAAACAAAGAAATACATTAAACCTCCAGGGCAGATTTCCAAAGGCTGCAGGGCCAGCCAGGTTACAATAAGCT